CAAGCAGTCAGCATAAAAAAGGACGGGGTCAGCTCTCTGTGTGTCAGTGCTTGGCAGCGCAGCTCTTCTGGGATCTGTCTCCTGGCACTTACCCAGCCCAACTATCAACAATAAAAGCTTCTCTTTGTGCTTCCAGTAAGTCATAAATAAATCTCTTCAAGCCCACCTGCTTTCCGAGAAGAGCTTTTTAACCATGTCTTTTACTTTGGGTTAAAAAAGGCAGACAGGGCTGCTGCTTTAGGAGTACAGTTTTAAAACATCCACTAAGCAATTGCTCCCTTTCATTGTGTCCCACTCCCAACATTTAGATGTGTAATGTGAGTTACAGTCCCTTTAGTTGCCAGGTTCTGAGACTGGACTGCTTTCCTGCTTTATGCTAATTGCCTCTTGAAGCTGCCCAGCCCTAAGTAATCCTCTTGTATAGAAAGCGTTAGCTGAGGAAGGAAGGGTTGATTCTTTGAGCAGCAGGGAAGGCGTACCCTCCCCGGAATAGCACTGCTCAAGGGGTGGGGGCAGTGATCTGCCTGGCCATGGCTTCAGGAACTCTAATAACTATCCCCGAAAAGCGAGAGGGCCAGGATGTTGGCCCCTGGGGGAGTACCAGGCACAAGACCAGCACTAAAAGAACAAGGCTAGTTGCAGTGGCTCACGTCTGTAATCTCAGCACTTTGGGAGGCTGAGGTAGGCAGATAGCTTGAGCCCAGGAGTTCGAGACTAGCCTGGACAATATGGCAAAACCCTGTCTCTACTGAAAATACAAAAATTAGGCCAGATGTGGTGACTCACACATGTAATCCCAGCACTTTGGGAGGCCGAGGCAGGCAGATCATGAGGTCGGGAGTTTGAGACCAGCCTGACAACATGGTGAAACCCCATCTCTACTGAAAAAAAAAAAAAAACACAAAAATTAGCCAGGCGTGGTGGCACATGCCTTTAATCCCAGCTATTTGGGAGCCTGAGGCAGGAGAATTGCTTGAACCTGCAAGGCAGAGGTTGCAGTGAGCTGAGATCGTGCCACTGCACTCCAGCCTGGGTGACAGAGCGAGACTGTATCTCAAAAAAAAAAAAAAAAAAAGAAAGAAAGAAAATAGTTAATCTTGATTGTAGTTCGAACAGGTTAGATTTCTTAAACACCTCTCATCAAAAATCTCTGAAACATCAGGCCTCCTATGACTGTTCTGAGGTAAACATTAATCCTATTTTCCACCAAGCTATAGAATGAGGTCAAGCACATTTATTTTCTACTGCAGTCAATGTTGGAATTAAAGAAATCAGCTGAATCCATTCTCAAAATTACATAAATGAGTCACTTCAGCTGATTCATCATTGAGTTTATATGAGCAGTATGTTTCCTGGGGCATTAAAAATTGAAGTACAAATTTTTGCCTCTTACATCCCACAGTCCATGAAAGAGGCCCAGAAGGACCAAATGTGAATATTCCCAAAGAGATTCTCCATCTGAACTCCGGTCCCTATAAAAGGAAATAGATTCTCGTGTTTGTCCATACATCCCCTCTCTTGTAATGCCAAACTCTGTGAGAGAACTTGGCACATATTGCCACAATTCAGATGAGTTTTCTACATTTTTTAAAAATAAGCCAGGCAGGGTGGCTCACGCCTATAATCTCAGCACTTTGGGAGGCTGAGTCTAGAGGAGTGATTGAGCACAGGAGGCCAAGGCTGCAGTGAGCAGTGACTGTGCCACCGCACTCCTGCTGAGCGACAGTGACCCTGTCTCTCTTTCTCTCTCTATATATATATATAGGAATAAGAATATAAATAATGTAAAATTTTAAAATCATAATTATAGGACCAGTGTCCATGAACTTCCCACCCGGTCAAGAATTGGAGCGTCAGGAACCACATCATGATGAAGGACTCTTGGTGACGCTCCCCTGCCTCCTGCCCGACGCAGCCCTTTCCTCCTCAACGGAAGAATCAGTGCTTTTTCTCTTGCTGTTCTTGATGGTTTTGCTACATATGTGTGCATGCTTGGACAAAAATGTTTAGTTTTGCTTGCCATCTGTATGAGTTTGCTATGGCCGCTGTAACAAAGTACCACAAACTGGGTGCCTTAAACAGCAGACATGTATTGTCTCAGTCCTGGAGCCTAAGAGTTCAAAAGCAAGGTGCTGGCAGGATTGGTTTGTTCGGAGCGCCTGTGAGGGAAGGATCTGTTCCAGGCCTCTCTCCTTGGCTTCTCCATGGCCACCTTCTCCCTGTGTCTATCTCCCTTCTGTGCAGGTCTGTGTCTCTGGTCAACTTTCCTCTTTTTATGAGGACGCCAGTCATAGTGGAGCGGGACCCACCCTAATGACCTCATTTTTTTTTTTTTTTTGAGAAGGAGTTTCGCTCTTGTTACCCAGGCTGGAGTGCAATGGCACGATCTCGGCTCACAGCAACCTCCGCCTCCTGGGTTCAAGCAATTCTCCTGCCTCAGCCTCCCGAGTAGCTGGGACTACAGGCATGCACCACCATGCCCAGCTAATTTTTGTATTTTTAGTAGAAACGGGGTTTCACCTTGTTGACCAGGATGGTCTCGATCTCTTGACCTCATGATCCACCCGCCTCGGCCTCCCAAAGTGCTGGGATTATAGGCGTGAGCCAACACACCCGGCCTAATGACCTCATTTTAACTTGATTACAGCTCCTCAAAGCTGAGGAAGTCTCTGCAGGGACTGACAGCTGCAGGCATCTGCCAACAACTCTCCAGCAGCAGGGACAGCAAGCCCCCTAGTAAAGAGGGACCTGGGCAGTGCATCGCAGTGTCCGTAACACTGGCTGTGGAGTCTGTAAAAATGGAGTCTTGCTGTATGTCTTCTGCAACTTGCTTTTCAATTTTTTTTTTTTTTTTTTTTGAGACAGAGTTTCACTCTTGTTGCCCAGGCTGGAGTGCAGTGGCACAATCTTAGTTCACTGCAACCTCTGCTTCCCAGGTTCAAGTGATTCTCCTTCCTCAGCCTCCTGAGTAGCTGGGATTACATGTGCCCATCACAATGCCCGGCTAATTTTTGTAGTTTTAGTACAAAAACTTTTTGTAGTTTTAAGAGTGTTTTGTTCTTAAAAGGTTTTTATTTTAGTCTCTATAAAGACAATGATCAAAAGGCACAATCAGCTGGGCACAGTGGCTCACACCTGTAATCCCAGCACTTCAGGAGGCCAGGGCAGGTGGATCACTTGAGGTCAAGAGTTCAAGACCAGCCTGGCCAACATGGTGACACCCCATCTCTATTAAAAATACAAAAATTAGGCCGGGCGCGGTGGCTTAAGCCTGTAATCCCAGCACTTTGGGAGGCCGAGGCGGGTGGATCACGAGGTCAAGAGATCGAGACCATCCTGGTCAACATGGTGAAACCCCGTCTCTACTAAAAATACAAAACATTAGCTGGGCATGGTGGTGCGTGCCTGTAATCCCAGCTACTCAGGAGGCTGAGGCAGGAGAATTGCCTGAACCCAGGAGGCGGAGGTTGCGGTGAGCCGAGATCGCGCCATTGCACTCCAGCCTGGGTAACAAGAGTGAAACTCCGTCTCAAAAAAAAAAAAAAAAATTAGCCAGGTGTAGTGGTGCACGTCTGTAATCCCAGCTACGCAGGGGGCTGAGGCAGGAGAATTACTTAAACCTGGGATGCAGACGTTGCAGTGAGCCAAGATCTTACCACTGCACTCTGGGCAACAGAGTGAGACTCCATCTCAAAAAAAAAAAAAAAAAAAGAGAGAAATAATAATCTAAAAATTAAAAAAAAAAATCTAGGGCAGGTGCAGTGGCTTACACCTGTAATCCAGCACTTTGGGAGGCTGAGGCAGGTGGCTCACAAAGTCAGGGGTTCAAGACCAGCCTGGCTAGCATGGTGAAACCCTGCCTCTACTAAAAATACAAAAATTAGCTGGGCGCAGTGGTGTGCACCTGTAGTCCCAGCTACTTGGGAGGCTGTGGCAGGAGAATAACTTGAACCTGGGAGTAGGAGGTTGCAGTGAGCAGAGATTGCACCATTGCACTTCAGCCTGGCTGACAGAGTGAGACTGTCTCACAAAAAAAAATAAAATAAAATAAAAATAAAAAATAAAACAAATCTCATGCTGAATTGTAATCCCAGTGCCAGAGGAGGGGCCTGATGGGAGACGTTTGGGTCATGGGGGCAGATCCCTGGTGGCATGGTGCTGTCTTCACGTAGTGAGTTCTCTTGAGGAGATCTGGTTGTTTAAAGGTGTGTGGCACTTGCCTGCCCTCTTGTCCCTCCTTTCACCATGTGATTCGGGGGCTCCCCCTTTGCCTGCCACCAGGACTGTAAGCTTCCTGAGGCCTCCCCAGAAGCCGAGCAGAAGTAAGGACCATGCTTCCCATAAAGCCTGCAGAACTGTGAGTCAATTAAACCCCTTTTCTGTTTAAATTACCCCGCCTTGGGGGTTTCTTTATAACAATACGAGAACAGGCTGACACAGTTGTCTTTAAAATGGTCCACATTCGGAATTTGCTCATTTGCTTCTTAGTGGTTTATTTAATTTGCCCTCTGTTCTCCATATTACCTGTAAGAAGCTAGCTCGAAGGCTTCATTAGATCCAGATTCAAGGGTCTACCTCAGGTTGTGCTGTGCACCTCGCACTGCGTCACATAAGAAGGCACACCGTTTCCGGTTCTCCAACTGGTAGAAATGCCAAGACTCATCAGCAGATTCGAGGTGTGACAGCCTGGTGCCTGCCTTATAAAATGCCTCAACCTTGCTTGTAATGCTGTCATCCTTCGATGGCCTTTGCCTGAGTCCACTATTTGCTATTAAGGGGTGCAAAGTGGTAATTTTCTAATTCTGTACTTTTTTCTACATTTATGAGCTAAAATGATTTTGTAAAGAAGTGCTATTTGGTTGCCTGAAGCATAGTTAATATGGAAAAGAGAGTAAAAAGCTTAATTCCATCCTTTTAAATTGCCAATTTTTAGAATATTTTGACAAATTTTTTTGTTTTCTCTCTTTAAAAATCTCATGAATTGGCCAGGCACAGTGGCTCAAGCCTGTAATCCCAGCACTTTGGGAGGCCGAGGTGGGTGGATCACGAGGTCAAGAGATCGAGACCATCCTGGTCAACAAGGTGAAACCCCGTCTCTACTAAAAATACAAAAAATTAGCTGGGCATGGTGGTGTGTGCCTGTAATCCCAGCTACTCAGGAGGCTGAGGCAGGAGAATTGCCTGAACCCAGGAGGCGGAGGTTGCGGTGAGCCGAGATCGCGCCATTGCACTCCAGCCTGGGTAACAAGAGCGAAACTCCGTCCCAAAAAAAAAAAAAACTCATGAATTTATTGACTTAAAAAATATGATCAGTGTGTCTCTTTCAATTGCAGTCATTGTTTTTTTGAATGCTTATAGTGTCCTGTTTGGGGCCAATAGCAGCTTCTTTATGTTGGCTCCTGTAGCCTTTTGACAATCCCACTAATTTTTTGGATAACTTCTTTGCTTTCTGGCATAACAAGATGTACCAGGCACACTGTGAATATTTCATGCTTCAGACCAGGAATTAGCAATTTCTCTAAAAAGCCCTGATTCTTTCTCTTCCAGAAGCTCTGATTTTTTTTAAAGCCCTAATTCTTTGTAGTAGAAAATAGTTTTTTAAAATCATTTTTTTGTTGTAGAATAGTTTTCAATTTACAGAAAAATTGCAAAGATACAGAGAAATTCCATATACCCAGTTTACTCTATTATTAGTATCTTACATTAGTATATTTTCCCCAATTAATGAGCCAATATCAATACATTATTGTTAACTGAAGTCCATACTTTATTCGGATTTATTTAGTTTTCTCTCTCCCTCTCTCTCTCTTTCTCTTTCTTTCTTGAGACAGAGTGTCACTCTGTTGCCCAGGCTGGAGTGCAGTGGCACAATTTTGGCTGACAGCAACCCCAGCCTCCCGGGTTCAAGCAATTCTTTCAACTAAGCCTCCCAAGTAGCTGGGATCACAGGTGTGCGTCACCATATCCAGCTAATTTTTATTTTTATTTTTCAGTAGAGATGGGGTTTCACCATGTTGGCCAGGCTGGTCTCAAACTCCTGATCTCAAGTGATCCGCCTACCTCAGCCTCCCAAAGTGCTGGGATTATAGGCATGAGCTGCTATGCCTGGCCGGAATAGTTTTTTGGGGTTTATTTATTTATTTTTTTATTGAGAAACAGTCTCACTCCGTTGCCCAGGCTGGAGTGCAGTGGTGCAATCTTGGCTCACTGCAACCTCCACCTCCCAGGCTCAAGTGATTCCCCTGGCTCAGCCTCTAGAGTACTGAGATTACAGGCATCCACCACCACACCTGGCTAATTTTTGTATTTTCTTTTTCTTTTTTTTCTGAGTACAATTGGGAAGACAAAGTTTTGTATTTTTAGTAAAGACAAATTTTCATCATGTTGGTCAGGCTGGTATCAAACTCCTAAATTCAAGTAATCCACCTGACTTGGCCTCCCAAAGTACTGGGATTACAGGCGCAAGCCACCATACCCGGCCCCAGAATCATTTTTAAAAGTCACAATCTCAGTGCTAAGGGAAATTTTTGTTACTGGAATGACAGTATTTCTAGACCTATTCAGTGAACAAAACTAGGTAATAGCCAGGCACAGTGGCTCATGCCTGTAATCCCAGCACTTTGGGAGGCCGAGGCAGGCAGACCACCTGAGGTCAGGAGTTCAATACCAGCCTGACCAACATGGAGAACCTGTCTCTACTAAAAATACAAAAAATTAGCTGGGCGTGATAGCACATGCCTGTAATCCCAGCTATTTGAGAGGCTGAGGCAGGAGAATTGCTTGAACCTGAGAGAAGGTTGCAGCGAGCCAAGATCACACCACTTAACACTCCCACCTGAGCAAAAAAAAAAAAAAAAAAGATTTTTTTTAGTAAAGCCGAGGTCTTCTGGGTTTGGAATTCCTGACCTCAGTCAATCCACCTGCCTCAGCCTCCCAAAGTGCTGGGATTACAGGCATGAACTATCATGCCCAGCCTTTTTTTTTTTTAATGCTTTATTAATATAATTAACATACCAGGCTGGGTGCAGTATCTCACATCTGTAATCCCAGCACTTTGGGAGGCCGAGGCAGGGGGATCCCCTGAGGTCAGGAGTTCAAGACCAGCCTGATCAACATGGTGAAACTCCATGTCTACTGAAAATACAAAAATTAGCCAGGTGTAGTGGCATACACCTGTCATCACAGCTACTTGGGAGGCTGAGACAGGAGAATTGCTTGTACCCGGGAGGCAGAAGTTGCAGTGAGCCAAGATCATGCCACTGCACTCTAGCCTGGGCAACAGAGCGAGACTCAGACTCAGAAAAAAAGAGAAATTAACATACCATACAACTCACCAATTTAAAGTACACAACTTGGCCAGGCACAGTGACTCACATTTGTAATCCCAGCACTTTGGGAGGCCAAGACAGGCAAATCACTTGAGGTTGAGAGATCAAGATCAACCTGACCAACATGGCAAAACAGTCTCTACCAAAAATACCAAAAAATTAGCTGGGCATGGTGGTGCACGCCTATAATCACAGCTATTCGAGAGACTGAGGCACAAGAATTGCTTGAGGCTGGGAGACGGAGGTTACAGTGAGCTGAGATTGCGCCACTGCACTCCAGCCTGGGCAACAGAATGAGACTCCCTCTCAAGAAACCAACCACCACCACAACAACAAAAACACAATGTAATGGTTGTTAGTACTTTCACAAAGTTGTGCAACCATCGCCATGGTCAATTTTAGATTGTTTTCACCACTCCACAAAGAAATCCTGTATCCATTATTACTACCCATTTTCCCCAACCCCTTCCTGTACTCCTTCTCCCTACCAGTCCCAGGCAATCGCTGATCTACTTTCTGTCTCTATAAATTTGTCCATTCTAGACATTTTATGTAAATGGAATCACATAATAAGTAGTGTTTTTCAGTCTTGCTTATAACACTTAGCATGTTTTCTTTCCCTCCCTCCCTCCCTTCCTTCCTTCCTTCCTTCTTCTCTCTCCCTTTCCTTCCTTCCTTCCTTCGTTCTCTTCCTTCCCTCCCTCCCTCCCTTCCTTCTTTCCTTTCTTCCTAGATGGGGTCTTCCTGTGTTGCCCAGGCTGGTCTCAAACTCCTAAACTCAAATAATCCTCCTGCCTTGGCCTCCCAAAGTGCTGGGATTACAGGTCTGAGTCACCATGCCCAGACTTTTTTTCTTTTTAAGACCGGTCTCGCTGTGTCACTCAGGCTAGAATGTAATGGCGCAGTCTTGGCTCACTGCAGCCTTGACCTCCCAAACTCAAACCATCCTCCCACCTCAGCCTCTTATGTAGGTAGGCCATAGTAATGTGCCACAATATCCTGCCAATTTTTTAATTTTTTTGTAGAGATGGGATCTCAGAATATTGTCCAAGCTGGTCTTGAACTCTGGGGCTCAAGCAATCCTCCTGCCTCAGCCTCCCAAAGTGAACGTAATGTTTTCAGAGTTCATTTATTTATGCATGTATCAGTACTTCATTCCTTTTTATTACTGAATGAGATTCCATTGTAAGAATATACCATGATTGACTGACTCAGCAGCTGGTAAATGTTTGGTTGTTTCTCCTTTTTGGTTATCATGAATAACATTGCCATGAACATTCGTGTGTGAGCTTTTGTGTCATCACGTTTTCTTTTCCTCTTGGGTGTAAGAGTGGAATTTCCGGGTCATATGGTAGCTCTGTGTTTAACATTTTGAGGAAGTGCCAAACTGTTTTTCAAAGTGACTGTGTCATTTACATTCATGCAGCAGTGTATGAGGGTTCCAGTTTCTCCACATCCTCAACAACTCTTGTTACTATTTGTGCTTTTTATTTTATTATTATTATTATTATTATTTGAGACAAAGTTTCGCTCTTGTTGCCAGGCTGAAGTGCAACGGCGTGATCTCAGCTCACTGCAACCTCTGCCTCCTGGGTTCAAGTGATTCTTTTGCCTCAGCCTCCCAAGTAACTGGGATTACAGGCACCCACCACCACGCCTAGCTAATTTTGTATTTTTAGTAGCGACGGGATTTCTGCATGGTCTCGAACTCCCAACCTCAATTGGTCCACCTGCCTTGACATCCCAAAGTGCTGGGATTACAGGTGTGAGCCACCAGGCCCGGCCTTGTGCTTTTTATTATAGCCATCTTAGGGTGTGATTTCAGACTCTGTGTGTGTGTGTGTGTGTGTGTGTGTGTGTGTGTGTGTGAGAGAGAGAGAGGGAGAGAGAGGAGAGAGAGAGAGAGAGAGAGGGTCTCTGTCGCCCAGGCTGGAGTGCGGTGGCACAATCAAGGCTCAGTGCAGCTTTGACCTCCCAAGGCTCAGGTGATCCTCCTACATCAGCCTCCTGAATGGCTGAGACTGCAGGTGCACAACACCATGTCCAACGAACTTCTGCATTTTTAAAGAGACAGGTTTTCTCTATGTTGCTCAGGCTGGTCTTGAACTCCTGGGCTCAAGGGATCCTCCCACTTTGGTCTCCCAAAGTGCTGGGATTACAGGCATGAGCCACCCCACCTGGCCCAGATATATATATATATATATTTTTTTGAGACGGAATCTTGCTCTGTTGCCAGGCTGCAGTGCAGTGGCACAATCTCGGCTCACTGCAACCTCTGCCTCCTGGGTTCAAGCGATTCTTCCGCCTCAGCCTCCGGAGTAGCTGGGAGCACAGGTGCTTGCCACCACACCTGGCTAATTTTTGTATTTTTAGTAGAGACAGGTTTCACCAGGATGGTCTGGATTTCTGGACCTTGTGATCCGCCCACCTCAGCCTCCCAAAGTGCTGGGGTTACAGGCGTGAGCCACCGCGCCCGGCCTGATATTTGTTTTTAATTATAGAATTTTATTAAGTCTCTGCTCTTTTCCCAGCACATCTTCCATGGTAGGAAACTTAATCAGGTAAATTTCACTTAGTGCTTGCAGTTTTTGTTGGTGGTGGTGGTTTGTTTTTATCGCCTTTTTCCTGAAGTAAGTACTTGTAGTTTATTGCTAATAAATATCTCTGAAATGGTGGACACTTTACCAGAAGTGACCGTGGCAAAAAAAAAAAATAGTTGAAAGAGAATTAAACTCAAATTTAGATGTACCCAAGATCAATACCTTATGTGAGTCTTTGTCTTCTTACGTGTATAAGATAAAGAATATCTATTCCAGATACCTGCTGTATAGATTAAATGAGATAACAGAGGTGAAACTTTCTGTAAACCACAGGCACTATATAAATATTATTCCTAGCTATGTGGCATAGTGAAAAAATAAAACCTTTTCCTCCATGTGATGATGTACTAGATTTTAAGCTCCTAAAGGAGAATAGTCATATTTGATCGATCTTTTAGTAATAGTATCCAGCACATGCCTTCCCACCGCCACCTTTTTTTTTTTTCAGACGGAGTCTCTCTTTGTCACCCGGGCTGAAGTGCAGTGGCATGATCTCAGCTCACTGCAACTTCCGCCTCCTGGGTTCAAGCCAATTCTCCTGCTTCAGCCTCCCCGAGTAGCTGGGATTACAGGTGGCCACCACCTTGCCCAGCTAATTTTTGTGTTTTTAGTAGAAATGGTGTTTCGCCATGTTGGCCAGGTTGGTCTCAAACTCCGGACCTCAGGTGATCCATCCACCATGGCCTACCAAACTGCTGGGATTACAGGCTTGAGCCACTGCGCCCTGCCTAATTTTTGTATTTTTGGTAGAGATGGGGTTTTGCCATGTTGTCCAGGCTGGTCTGGAACTCCTGGCCTCCAGTGATCTGCTCACCTAGGGCTCCCAAAGCGCTGGGATTGCAGGTGTGAGCCACCACGCCCGGCCCCCCACCACCTGCACCTTGTTCTTTATTCTCCTTTACTTAAGCCCTCAGGGAACACTCAGACCTATAGTTAGGAATCATTTGCATGCTTTTTTGGTTTAAGGAATTCCTCAAGGTTCACTTTTCTTTCTTTTTTTTCACTTTTTTTTTTTTGAGACAGGGTCTCACTCTGTTGCCCAGGCTGGAGTGCAGTGGCATGAACACAGCTCACTGCAGCATCAACCTCCCTGGGATCAGGTGATCCTCCCTCCTCAGCCTCCCACCTCTTATAGCTTTTAAAATCATATGTCTGTGCTCACTTCAGCAGCACATATACTAAAATTGGAACGATACAGAGAAGATTAGCATGGTCCCTGGGCAAGGATGACATGCAAATTTCGTGAAGCATTCTATATTTTTAAGACAAGGATTCCCTCTCTCACCACTCCTATTCAACATAGTATTGGAAGTTCTGTCCAGGGCAATCGGGCAAGAGAAATGGGTGTATACAACTGGTTGTATACGATTAGTTCTCAGGACTCTTACGAACAGGCTCCAGGACACATGTTTTGTGCTCAGTGTGTATGTAAGAAGAAATGCATTTTAAAATGGAAAAAAATACATATATGTATTAAATGTTTCTTTGTTCTAAGAATACCAAGTCAACGGACTTTTTGATGATGCCAAGGGAAAGCCAATATTTTATTCTGAAATGAAGATGTGGAGACAACATGGCTCCAAGGAACTGAACCAAGCCCTGAAGAATGTGAAACGCTGCAGTCCTCCAGACTGTTCTTCTCAAAACACATTCTTTTCTAAGTTAGAATTCAGGCCATATGGTCCCTAAAATGGATCTCCGGCTCTTATTAGATAAGAAAAGGAGGGGAGAAGATCAGATGAATGCAGGAAGGCTCTAGAGGCAAGTCTTTGCATCGCACTGAAAAAGAACTATCAGGTTGACTGGACTGGCATCACAGAGCCCAATGAAAACTATCCATCTAAAGACCACATGCTGGTCTTCCAGATTGAATCACCTAAAGTCGAGGAAATCTGAGGATGGGGAATTGTTAGTTCTGGATGATCATCTAGGTAGAACCCTGTGGCAAGGCCAGCCCTAGAGTGAGCAGGCATTGTGGGTCACCATTGTCTTGTAAGGGGACAGAGGGATTCACCCTGACACAATACTGTCCTGCACAATTTAATTCCTTATAAAAAGCATTCTCTGTTACACAAAATATATAAAATAATGGTTAAGGGATGTTGAAAGATTTATTTAAAAAATAATAATAGGCCAGGCGAGGTGGCTCACGCCTGTGATCCCAGCAACTTTGGGAATCTGAGGCAGGTGGATCACTTGAGGTCAGGTGTGCAAGATTAGCCTGACCAACCTGGTGAAACCCCATCTTTACTAAACATACAAAAATTAGCTTGGTGTGGTGGCGTGCATCTGTAATCCCAGTTACTCAGGAGAGTGAGGCAGAAGAATCGCTTGAACCTGGGAGGCGAAGGTTGTAGTGGGCCAATATTGCACCACTGCATTCCATCCTGGATTACGAAGTGAGACTCCATCTCAAAAAAATAAAAAATCAATAAAAATAATAATGGTTGAGAGTCAAACGCTAAAGCCAGATAGACTCAGGTTTGAATTTTCATTTTGTTACTTAGCTGTAAAAGACCTTGAATTTTCATTTTGTTACTTATCAGCTGTAAAGAGACGTACTATTTAAATTTATTTATTTTTGACGGAGTTTCATTCTTGTTGCCCAGGCTGTAGTGCAATAGTGCAACCTCGGCTCACCACAACCTCTGCCTCCCGGGTTAAAGCGATTCTCTGGTTTCAGCCTCCTGAGTAGCTGGGATTACAGGCATATGTCACCACACCTGGCTAATTTTGTATTTTTAGTAGAGATGGGGTTTCTCCGCGTTGGTCAGGCTGGTCTCGAACTCCTGACCTCAGGTGATCCACCTGCCTCAGGTGGGATTACACCGCACCCAGCTGTCTGATTTTTTTTTTTTATTATGCATTTAGTTAAAGCTGATGATGCTAGGATATAAATCTTATTTTAATTAAACCATCATAACGTCCACTCTGCTCTTCACGGAGAGACTGGCATTCATGAAGAGGAAGCTGGGGATGAGCTCTGTGTGAAGTCTCCATTTTACACAGATTTTCACTGAACATGAGATGAACCATTTGCTGGAAAACCATTGGGGAAGACGTGCACTGGACTTTTTGCAATGATTTTTATCTCTGGTGTTTCTGACATCGACTAAGGTTTCAGGCAGACAGAGGCATGGAGGACCTAGTGACAATCAGTAGGGAGCTTCCTGGTTGCTAGCAACAGTAAATACCATGGAGACACAATGACACAAAGACTCAGCCTTTCACATACACACGATGAGACCTGGAGCCTGGTTTCTTATTTCAGATACAGAGTCCTCAAGATAGAGCACAATGGCTTCTTCTTTCTCCCCTTCATATTAGACTTTTACAATTGTGTGCAGAAACACATACCACGCAGGAGCCGACATGACCATCTTGCATCTCGATTTGTCTAAGAACACTTGGATTCTAACCTTCCTCTCAGTGCTGTCATGTTTTACTATTTTGAGGTAGAAATAGAAGGAAATAAGGTTGCTTATCTAACTTGGGGATTTTAAATTATGTGTGACTTTGAAAAACTCATTGGTAAATGCCTGCCCTCCGTAAGAGTTATAATTGATTTCTGCCCTTTTGAAAATATTCAGAAAAACGATCTGAAAGATCTTCTCCAAGCTTATTCTCTAATTCATTTTTAGAAAAGGTAGAAGCATACAGAATATGAAATACAGCACTGGCAATTTAAGGTTTTTCCATGACTCATTCAAGGAAATTGCATAATAGCTTTTCCCTGCCAAGTTCATAGACTCTTCTCAAATACCTTGCAATTTTCCTTATTCTATTCCTTTCTTCTTCAACCTCCTCTCTCTTTCCTTCTTTTCTACGTGCCATTAACTTTTTTCTCTTTTCTCTAAGGCTGTAAAACTCTCTTGGGTATAGTCATGTGATAGGCAAGGTGACAAGGGAAATTTGAAATACCCCTGACCTTGCTGGTCTGTCTCCTAGCAACTGTATAATACGTTGCTTAGTAACAGGGGGTGAGAGTGAAGTCGAACTTACAAGTCTAAAAATACTGAAATCATTTTAAAAAGATTAATAGTGGGCTTATTTATTAAAATATACTAAATCCATAAATAGTCTTGCCATGTAAGGGACTTATTTCATGCTATGCTATCTTGAGTGAACCTCTATATCTCTCTTTTTTTTTTTTTTCTGACAACTCTTTCTCAACCTTGTGAGAACCTCTACATCTCTTATAATCTGTAGACAGTATTAGAATAACAGATTGCTGTTCACATAGGCAGATGAAGGCAAAAAACCCATATCGTTCTCTAACCCTTTCTCTTCTACACATACATAATCATGTTTACATCCACAGGGAAAGGGATAAATGTTTCCTAAATGATCTTTAGGCTAGGCAGATGAAGAAAAATGCAGCCTTTTCTAACTTCTCTTTTGCCCATGCATAATTGATTTCTAAATCTAAATGGAGACAGATCCAGCATTATTTCCAGACAAGTTCAAAAAAAAAAAAAAAAGAAAAAACATTTTAAAAGGGAATATGGGCTGGGCACGGTGGCTCACGCCTATAATCCCAGCCGAGGTGGGGGGACCACCTGAAGTCCGGAGTTCAAGACCAGCCTGGCCAACATGGTAAAACCCATCTCTACTAATAATATAAAACTTAGCTGGGCACGGTAGCACATGCCTGTAATCCCAGCTACCCGGGAGGCTGAGACAAGAGAATTGCTTGAACCCAGGAGGCAGAGGTGGTAGTGGGCCGAGATAACACCTCTACACTCCAGCCTGGGTGACAAGAGCAAAACTCCATCTCAAAATTAAAAAATAAATAAATAAATAACTGGTCAAGCTTCAGAAGGGGCTCTTCAATTGTTTTTTTTTTTTTTTTTTTTTTTTTTA